TTTCTTGATACTGTCTCAATACGTGGTGCAACTACCCATAATGGGTTTTCCTCCTTCCATTTTAATAACGTTTGAAGCATTAAAGAAGCGTCAGAATCACCAGGATTATGTTGTCGTCGAAAATTATACACAGCATTGTATAAATCACGTTTATTTAAGGGATGGTTGGGATAATCATGTCGAAGTAAAGGATAAATCGACCCTGAATCCATCCTGCCTTGAATTACATATTTCTCAATATCTGATAACATATCAGGAGTCAACTTGCGAAATTGTGTAGCAATCTCACTAACCATAGGGGTAAGTGTATGATTATGAGAATTTTCAAATGAATTAATTTTTACTTGCGCTATTGTTTTTGGATATGTAACGCATAATTTCCAAGAACATTTAGTTCTTTGAGACTTAGCATTACGACGTTTGGTAGGGTCAAATGTCACATTTGGGTCATGAGTGCCGGATTTGGTACACACATAAGTTGCTCTTCGAACTATTCCTTTATCATCTCTTTCATTAGTTCTAATTTTGTAAGCAAACCCCTCCTGTAACGCAAAACGATTGAGCCAAACTTTAAAAGAGTCCCAACTTAAAAATGAAAGTCCAACTACTAATTCCAAACATGATTCATTATCCGACTCATCTTCATCCAATTCACCTTTATCCGATTCACCTTGATCCAATTCACCTTGATCCAATTCACCTTGATCCAATTCACCTTGATCCGATTCATCTCTATCCGTTGTGTTGCATAATTGTGAAGCTATATAACTATTAGCTTCTAAGGATGGTACAGAATTGTCATAAAAAATAGATTTATCAAGATGATCAAGAGATAGTGTTGTTTTAGATTCAATATAAGTAATGTCATTTAAATAACCCGGTTCAGTGTCTTTTTTATTAAAGTTAGGTGAATAGTCATTAATAATTTTGACTGATTCCTCATTTGTAAGGTCCTACATTTATGTCCATTTATAAAAATTCTTAGTAAACATTATACTTAGTGAAAAGAGAACTTATG